ATTAGACCCAACGTGTGTAGAGGATAATTCTAGTGAAATCAATATTGGCCATCTTGAAGAATTTCATTATGTGTCACACAAAGGACCATGCTGCAATCTAGCATTTCAAGTTGAATAGAAAATGATAATGTTGGTATAGTTATGACTAAACTAACTGCAATAATGCCCTGAGAGSTCTTGAATGTGTTGTTTTGGTAAATAACCATGATCAATTGCAAGTCTTACAACCATCTGATCTTGTTGTAAGTTTATTAGAAATGTATGCAGCTTCACAGATGAAATTGGTTCCATGGCAACTACATCTTTTACTTTTTTTGCTGTTCATCACCCAGGAGGGGGGGGGGTGATATATTCACTATACGGGGACGTGCCGCCAACCAGGGTATTGTTTTCAGCGATTTTACTCTGGAACTGGGTATCGTTTTTAGCAATTTTACTCTGGAACAGGCTATCGATTTCAACGAATTTTCTCTGGAACAGGGCCAGGGTTTAATTCCGGAATTATTGCTGCTGGGTAAAAATTCACGGGCTAAAAATTCGGTCTACACGCAGGCTAGTGCTKGATTTTCTCTGGAACAGGATATCGTTTTCAGCGATTTCACTCTGGAACAGGGTCAGGATTTTGATGCCCCAACKGCACACCCCCATCCWAGTTTGGGGGGAGTACCAAGGCACCAGTCAACCCTGAAATCAGGGTCTCGTTTTGACAATAAACTGGGAAGTGAGAGAGTGAGTGAACGATTTTTAATACAGTATCCACCTACAAACTATAAGCTTAATTTCAGACTATTTAGAATATTTTCTTGCGCAATCTCCGTGTAGAGCAATTATTTCCAAACCAAACAAATATATATTAGAATTCTGTATAAACAAATTAATTAGAATAAGTGTATCAACAATAACAMAGGCATAAATAAACACGAATTTAATTCAATGTTACAGACAGAATTGAAACCAAAGTTTGAATGAAACCATTTTKTCATGTAAAATTAATCTTACCTTATTCTCAGGAGAATTTTTCACGTCCAAAACAAAAATAGTCACAGCTTCACCAGTTGCCTGAAGACCAAAAAATTTAATATTATATAAAAAATAAGTGATTATAACTTGATCGTAAGAAGATAAATATAATAGATTTCACCTTTTTCGAGCCACGATGAACCGACCATGGCGATTTACTCTCGGAACTCTCAAATTTCTCTCCGATTTCGAAAGGAAAGCTCTGGGCAGCGGTGCCCATCTTTCCTATAAAGTTCCATAAACCCTGCATGGCTAAGACGATTTAAGAAGAATGAAAATTTAACTAAATATCAACATCTCCGAACATCTCCGAACAATTTGTAATTTCTGTCTTCGTGGCTTTCGCCCCAGTCTCTCGACCGTGTATATTGGTGACTGTAACDTGAATGGTCTACAAAAGATTGTCTAGTCGGCCATTTTGTACAAAGAAAAGTCAAGTGTTGTTTGTTGTCTACGAGAAAAGAAGAAACTCTGGCTTTGTTCGCGGCTCCAGAAGTACCGTACCTTTCAAAAAATAAAGACATTATGCATCAGTTAGGGCAATCGGTGAGTTTTTTTGGGCGTTTTTATGTCGATGTTGATACCCTCTCAAGTATCCTGGCAGGATTAAGCTTAACTTTCTTTTCTTTGATGTTTATAACAATTTTATCTTTTGATTTTAGAATTTAAAGTGAATTATACATCATTTTAGTTTATTGGTCTTTATGAAGTCATTGTTACTCGCCACAATCATATAAAAATCTGATTTTACCTAAATATAACTTAAGTTRTTGTTACTTAATTGTTATTTAAGCTTAAACTTTACCTTAGGGTCTTAAGATAAATTGTTTTGTTTTGAAAAACTTTCCCAACTTTCCTCTTTGACCATCAGTAATCTGACATGGTTTTTATGATTGTTTTTCATACAGCGAGGTTTTCCACACCCCATTCCACCAACATCACAGACAACCAGYCTTTCAGAGATAGAAAGGGAGAAGATTTACTCTTGGATCCTGGAATTGTCAAGTCCTGAGTCTAGAGAACATGCATTATTAGAACTCAGGTAATTTACTGCATAGATCCATTCTCAACACCAYACCCTGGTCAATCCACAGTACAATATATTTCTGTTCAAAAACTCAAGCAAAGAAAAAGGGATGATTGCCTACATATAGGTTTATCAATGAAAGCATTCTGTTGGATAATCTTCTAGTGTTTTGCTGTCCATTACCTGAGTGTAGACTTTAATATAAATAGCCTTGCCTTTTCATCGAAGCAATACGACCAGTGAGCGGACAATTATTCATAGGTGCCTATCATTGCACGCTCTTAGGTCATCTGGCTTTGATGCAAAGGTATGGCTTCCCCTTGAAGATGGTACAAGGGGTTTGATATAGAGCATATAAAGAGTGTATGTTAATTCTATCCACCAGATGAATTCTTATCCAGCAAATTATTAGTATAGGGAGTGGATACGTTTATCCACCCAATCTAGCAGTTTAAATGCAGTTAAGGGATGTGAAAACACAAATGGACATATTTATAAGACATAAAGTCAGTCTCTCTTTTCTTCATGTTGGGTTTCCTGTGGTGAATCAGGTAGCTAAATGTGTATGGTACATTTTAACTTTAATGTTTTTTTTCCTTGTATTTTTCAGTAAAAAGAGAGAAGTAGTACCAGATTTAGCTCCAATGCTGTGGCATTCATTTGGTGAGTAGAGATCTATCCCTGGTTCAYGTAATACATGTAGATTGAATTAAGGAAAATACATTAATATGTACATGTATCAATTGACAAGGTGTTTTTTATACAAAGTCATTTTTGTTATTGTTTATTATTAGGAACTATTGCTGCTTTGTTACAAGAAATAGTATCTATCTATCCCGTCATAAATCCACCAAACCTAACAGTAAGTGCTTAACACAATCAGCAAAAAAAAWTTTTATGGTGTCATATAATATAATGATTTCATCTTTGTTTCCAGGCTCACCAGTCTAACCGTGTTTGTAATGCCTTAGCTCTTCTTCAATGTGTTGCATCTCATCCTGACACTAGATCTGTTTTCCTACAAGGTATTGGGAATTGTTTCCAGCAATCTTAGATGTACCATGTGCACTGTTTACTGTTTTAGCACAAATAATAGAACTCTAAAGCTTTTACATCATGTGCCATATGAGCAATGCATTGTAGGATGTGCTTTGGACAAAACAGATCCCATAATGTATAATTGCAAATCAAGCAGTACATAAAGTTTCAGAAGTCTTTTCCAACACTTGTTCGCATTTTCATTCCTTGCCCTAAACAATGTAGGACTTACATTACAGYTTTCTCTTTTTTTTCTTTTTCTACATTATGTTTATACTGTGTGCTTTTGTTTGAATGCAAATCATAAAACTTGCCCTTCCTTAGTTAAACTACATTTACCACTGAATAAGAACATCAAACCTGTGTACATAGGAATACAATTAAAGTTGTGTTCATTTTCAGCTCACATTCCATTGTTCCTCTACCCATTCCTACATACAACCAGTAAAACAAGACCCTTTGAGTATCTACGTTTGACAAGTTTAGGTGTGGTTGGTGCTTTAGTAAAGGTATGTGTCTGATTAAGTATTATCACAAACCACCTGAGGAATATGATGTTGTCAAGCAGATTGTGTTTGACTGTGAAAGGACACTGAATAAMAAAAACAATCACATTTGACAAAGCCTTAATGATGATAATTATACTCCAATAAAATTAGAGCGGATTTCGTATGAGTGGGAAACGGACGGTACTGTACTGTGACTGTAATCGTACTGTAACCAAATTCTAGTGCCCCATTGGTTCACCAAAATTGTGCAGGCCAGGTACGGTAACTGTGCGGTAACCGTGCATAACGGTGTCCCACTCATACGAAATCCGCTMTACTTATTAACTATTATAATTAGTACTGCATTGTGGTGATGACTATAGTCATGATTATAATAAAATAATACACCAAAAGTTGCTTTCTTGTTAATGTTTAATTCTTTATCCCAATTTCAAATCAGACTGATGAAACAGAGGTTATAAACTTCTTGTTGACAACTGAGATTATCCCTCTCTGCCTGCGCATTATGGAGTCAGGAAGTGAACTCTCCAAGACTGTAAGTACACTATGTACATTTTGATGTTGTTTGTAAAACTACAGTCATGGCACTGCTAGGACATTGAGAGAAAAAGAAGAAATTTTACCCCCTTAATTCTTTATTTTTTGGATAGATGCCTGCCATCTACATAGCTTCCTCTGGGTAGGCATCTCCTTCTTCCCTTAAATATAACAAGCTTCCTGTGATATATCAGTCTCCTTTCCCCCTCCTACCTGTATGTTATCCACAGTGAGCCTGAAACTTATGAAAAACTGGAAATTAAAAAAATAAAACAGGAGTAGAGCTCTTATGTGCAAGTTTATAATATATACAGTAGTCTCTATAGTATGACTTAGTTTTGTGTCAAACCAAGAGTGCCAATTAAGTTACCAATAGTAGGAAACCAATAATTTTATCATTGTGYTTGGAACATGACTTTGATTAAAACAATTTTATTTTTCCAAGGTTGCCACATTTATACTGCAAAAGATTTTACTAGATGAGACAGGACTGTCATATATTTGTCAGACATATGAAAGGTTTTCTCATGTGGCTATGATACTGGTGAGAATAACATACTATAGGAAAGAACATACAGTCATGTAATTAAGGATAAMTACAAAATGTGATCTAAAGTCAAAGAAAAAAGCTAACCACCCAGGGCTAYATACAATATTAAAACTATATCTTCTCTAATTTGGACAGTTAATGAGTTAGACCACAAGCTCACTCATGTTTTATCTGYATTATCAAGTACAATAATTGGGTTAAGTGAACTCATTTTCATACCTCATTTTCAATGTACATGTACTTCCTGGTCTTTGACACACTCATCACTTGTGTTTGATTTGAACAGAACTGATTTTCGCTTTAATGTTATTGAATTCTTCCATGGAACTGAAAACGTAACTTTTTTATACATGATTGTATGACAGGGCAAGATGGTTCTAGCCTTAGCAAAGGATCAGTCAGCAAGGCTTTTGAAGCATGTTGTACGTTGTTATCTCAGGCTGTCCGATAACCCAAGGTACAGTTTCTAATGGTCTACATACTGTAACATAAGATAGATAATGGGAGAGGGGAGGAAGGATGGGAAGACAATAGGAAGGGGCTGCAAAGTATGTGTGTGTTGTACAAAATTTCTTTCTTATTGTTAAATTGTTAGAGCTCGTGAGGCCCTGAGGCAATGTCTTCCAGACCAGCTAAAAGATGGGACATTCTCTAACTGTCTTAAAGATGATGCTTCAACTAAACGATGGCTGAGCCAGCTGATGAAAAACCTACAGGAACCACCTATAGGAGACACAAGAGGAATGGCTAGCTTGACATCTTGATSTTAATGGAGTTTATAGGTTCTCTTTGTACAAAGACTGACACTGTACAAAATGTATATTGATGCATTGGAAATAGCAAACCGCTACACTAATAGAAAGCAGTGTTCTGTAGAAATTAACATTTATGAAGGGCACTGTAGTGTTAGATTARTAAATGGTCAAGCTAGTATAGAGTGGTCCCTGTAAAAAACAGCAAAGCTCTGAACTTGAACAAAAGTTCGAGGTGTACATTTCTGTAGCTCGGAAAGTATGACCAAAATATTATTTTCTTTTTAGTTCTGGCTGAAAAAAAGCCATGAGGTTTGCAGTTCAAATTTTACGGCAATATATCAGGACAGTGATTGGAAGCTGAAGCAAGGCGATCCATTGTTAATTGAGGCTCAGGTTTCACCATTCTAAACCCCTTGTGTGTTTGTTTTTTGTCACCCCTAAGATCACTTTCTTTATTTGTTCAGATTAGTTGTTGTCAGGCTCTATTTTTGTTTACRTTGTAGTTTTGTACACATTTTGTAAATATACAAAATTAAAGATAAACTAAAATGATATGTTTGTTCAGTATTCTTCTCATTTTGTTGCGGTATTTTGATCTCATTTTTAAATATGGGCCTCTCTGTCATTTTATCTGATTTCAATTTCTTTCATTCTTTTTCACTTCCATTTTTTACTTGTCATTTTCCATTCACCTTCCGTTTTCTATTTTCTTATTTTTGGAGGATGGTAGCGTGACTTACGTACATAACCAAATGGGAGTCACGTGAGCTTAGTAGCCGTGTGATATTTTGAACAGTTTCAAGATGGCGTCCTTTTAAGGACGGTGATTTCGAAGTTAGTCAATATTATTCAACAATGAGCAACCCTTGTACTAAAGGAACATGAATTTCTACCTTTAGAAGTATAAAATGACGTCTTTAAGAGGTTCTTTGCCGCCAGCAGGCTCTACCCTTTGGCAAAAGGAACGACGAACTTCGAGCTTGGACAGTAGTCAAGCAGGAACTTCGCTAATAACACATATCGTTATACGAGAAGTCTGGAAAAAATCCATCCCCTCTCCACATGCTGTTTATAAGATTGATGTAATGACTAAGTCAAACCACTGGTATGTTTTAAAAAGGTACCGCGAGTTCAGCAAACTGCATAGTCTTCTAGTTTCGGCGTACGGTATCCCGAAAGACATGCTTCCTCCAAAGAAACTAACATCTAATTTGTCTTTGAAGCACTTAGAGAAACGCAGGGATGCCTTAGAACACTATTTACAACGTCTAGTAAACAGTTCAACTTATGTCTCAAGTTCTCCTGAAGTTCTAGCTTTTTTGGAAGTTAGCAAACACGATGTTACATCAGTTACAAGATCACTTGCGAAAGAGCTTTTACATGCTGGTGACACGATCTTGTCTGAAGGAGGCTCTTATGTTTTTACGCTGACTCAGCTGTATTGTATCACAAGACAGCTTCAACTTCCAGAGCAAGTGAATGTTGAAGAGAATTCTGTCGATCTTGGTCATTTATATGGTTTTATTTATCAGCTAGAGGAACTCTGTGTTGTACCTAACAGATCTAAAAGTAGTCAGGAGCTGGTGGGGCATTTAGAATTTGATATATCATTATTCAAAGCTTTGAGGAGTCTAAAAATTGATGGGTGTCCTGTGTGTTTAATCAAAGGTTTGGATTCATTACAAGGGCAATTGAAATACTTGGCTGTTAGACATTCACTGCAAACAATGGGTGAATTACTCGTAGATAGAGTCATTGGGACAAGGAAGGCATCAACCAGTAGTTCAGTCTCAGTAGCTGCCTGGCGTAATCAAGCAACAGCTAAACTGACAAAGGACAGAGTTATAATTCAACCATGGGTTCAGCTTACTAACCTTACTCTGGCTCACAATAAATTATCAACGTTTGATCAATCTCTAAAGCTTTTACCAGCATTGCAGAGTTTAGACTTGAAATATAATGAGTTTGTTACAGTAGATCTTCAGCAGATGCAATGCCCAAGTCTGACTCACTTGGACTTGTCTTATAACCATATCTGCTCCATATCTGGTCATTCAAGAAACCTGCCAAACCTGAAGTCTTTGATTTTATYACACAACAAACTAGAGAGCCTAAGCTGCCTTGAAAGCCTTTATGGCCTTATTGAACTTGACTTGACAAGCAATCAGTTAGGAAGCTTGAAGGAGCTCCGTAACCTATCTGGGATGTCCCAATTGAGATATCTATCTGTTGAAGGTAATCCTTTGACAAAAGTGAAATCTTATAGGGTGCAGATCTTCTCTTTCTTCTATGGTAGAAAGATATTTCTGGACAACAAGCCGCAGATAACTACTGGTGAGGCACCCAGGAGTATATGGCCAACAAGGTCAAGGTCATTTTCAAGCCCAGGAACTTTTACCAGAGATGATTCAGATGATCTTGTCAGGCTCGTCCGGGCAAACAGTGCAGATATTGCTTCTACAATCATTCATGATCATGTCAGCTCTTATGATGACAACAATGATGATGATGATGATTCTGGTATTGAAGGGTATACTTCTTTCAGCACAAATGTCTCAACAATTATCCAAGAAGAAGAAATGGAATTCAACTGGTCTTATTTTGACTTCCTGGATATTGGAAAACCAGGTATTTTTTCCAGTGGTGCAACAATGAATCTTGAAGAGCAAGTACAAGATGACATGTGTGAGAATGCATTGCAAAGTACAAGTAGCACTGAGTCAGCTAGTGAGGTGGTAGTGAATGAAGACAATGCAGTAATGGATACTAGTAACAAACAAATACAAGACACTTTGTGTAGACCTGAAGCAATGACATCTATGTCAACTCCTTTGAAATTACCATCAAATACTGAACAACCAGAAGAAAATATTGAAGCCAATGAAAATAGTGATATGACAAGTAATACAGATGAAACATTAGAAAGATCCAAAGAAATTTAACGAAAAGAAAAAAAGAAAAATAACTTAAAATAAAATTTAATAAGTTTGACACTTCTTGAAGCTATAAGCATTTTAAAATCAGAAGGCTCATTAATAGGCCTTTCTGAGATAGCATTTTACATTGCATTGTGAGATTCTGTACAAAAGTCTTTTGTTCGTGCTTCCAAATATGGTGTTGTTAGTACTCAAGCTAGACCACAATGCACCATGATTTGTTATTCCAGAAAAGGGCTATGAGAGAAATTAAAAATATATATGCTAATGAGTGGCGGGCATTTTTTAAAGAGAAAGCATTTTCATTAATTCCTTTCTTGTTGAATAACTAATGTTACAGCTTTGTTGGAGTTTTAT